AGGGATCAAACCAGTCGCTTGGTACCTCTAAACGCTGCGCCACACGTGCACAGGTTGATATGAAAGTTACAAAGTCTTTAAGAGTAAAAATGCCATGGAAGTTGAAATATTGAGACAAAAATCTGTTTGCTTTACATGAAAAAGTATTTGAGAAGCTCCATCACTACTACATTCCAAAGAAGAGATGAGTTTTTTTGAAGTTTTTCGTGTAATCATAATATCCTTCGTCAATAAGCTAGGACGAAAATGATCTGAAACAGTGCAAAAATTATAGAATAAACTTTAAAAAATCTCATTGGTTAGGTTTCTAGAAACGTTTAGGACTACTTCATAATTGGTGATCTCGATAAGGATTCTCCGATATTTATAAACATTACTGAATAAGTCAAAACACATTTATCGTTTTGTACTTGGTTATTCAAAGCCATACACCAGCAAATATTGCGTGTTAGCTCAATAATAAATGTAACAACATCGTAAGATGTTCATACGGGCAGTCCATCCAATTAAGATCAATCCAGTAACCAAAAAATTCACTTAATCAGTTTATCGATCTAGTAAAGAATTCGCAGCGGCTATTTTGAGCTGTATAGTTTATTTTGCATACATTAGAAACTGAAAAGATCAGTTTAATTAAAGCATTTACACTTCACAATTCTTACTATAGGATAATCACATACACAAACAGAGTACCGTGCATCTCTATCTAGGACCAAAAAGTCACTGCTGAAGATGGATGTACAGATTTTACGGTGAATTGTAGCCTATGTTCATTGGTTTTAGCGACAAACCCACGTCTTGTAGTAAACTCCTCGACCGGCTATCGATTGACCTCGGCATGGTTAAGTAGTACAAGCTCTCTTTGATTAGTCAAAATTTAAGACTGTTGAAAATAAAGGCAAAAATTTGAGGACAATGAGGACAATACACAGTTCCTGATAGAATAATTTCTTGCTATAGCCGTGAATCATTCCTTTTTCCCTCATTCTCACTCACATGGCATCTGGTCCATGGTAAAATGTCATGAGCGACAAAATAAAAAAGGATAAAGGATAAAGCTCTCGGCGTTAATCTATCCCTGAGGGATGCGCCATGCATTCGACTTCAATTTTTAACTTCGTTTGAGGTGATTGAATGCACATCTGGCCTTTACAATGACTCGCGGTGGCCTCCCGCTGAACCGAGTCAGTGCTGCTTATCCTCCCCAGCGACAAAATACTCCTATGAAAATAATTTTGCTACTGGAGTTATTTTCCCCTAATTACTTAATTAGTGAGTAAGCCAACTCCCATCGAATGTTTTGTTCACCATGAGTTCTTTCTTTCCCTAAACAGGGCTAGAAAATCCGTTCCGTCGTCGTAGCCATGGGCAGTCGGTGGTAATTGACGTTAGTGGACTGAAATGAGGTGCCACATTGCAGTTACGATTCTTCCACAATGACGATTATTTCTTATATGACTTTTTTCTTGACTGGATAGCCGGATGTCGTCAATTATGGGAATGAACGTGAATAAATGGAAAATGGAGCGCGAAAAGAAAATCGTTAGGTTGTTATTGCTCAGTCTTTGACGAATATAAACGCAAAAGAATTTTAGAAGAACATATAACATCATTGAAAACTGAAGGCAAACTATCAAGGCAAGGAGAGACTTCGAATTGGAATCTGGCATTTATAACAGATTGTGTTTCAAGGTTTGTACTAGGCTCATTATTGAATACCACATACAAATGCCCTATTCCCCCTAGCTAGTAGATTTCTTAGCTGTCGTTGGCGTGATTTCTAAGCTTTACGAAAGTAATCATGCCATCAATTTTGATGAAATACCTTCTAGAACAAGAAAGTCATATTAGAGAAGTGGAGAGAGATCGTGAGCTGCCACGTCCCCACTGAGAAGCAAATATGTGGAAGTGCGCGCGGCATACCCTGATATCGATGATAGCAGTTGTAGTGTTGCGGAGTGGACAAGGATAGGAGTAAAATAGGACAGAGATTGAAACGGCTACGATGTGTAGAGCTGACACCATCAGCAGATCCTTCGGAACGCTGGTATATCCACCGGAAAAAAAAGAAAAATGAGAGACTTTGAGAGAAAGATGAGAAGAAAATTCATGATCATACACTGCATGTTTTTAACAATTCGAAAGGACATGCACTTTTTTTTCAAGCTTATAGAGAGCAAAGTCCACATGCCACAGCATCACTCATGGTGCATCACTATTTTAACAGTACTCTTCTACTGCGGATATTGACATCTTCGATGAGAGTTTATGTGCCATCCGGATTCGTCGTCTTATTCTCTTAGGCGTGTACGCGACTATCATTATCACCATGTTCCACAATGATATCCCGGCTGTAGAATTTTCGTGACCGTGTGTAGCTCAGCGGAAGTGTTAGTACAATAACGAATTACGTAGCAAGTCCAATACTGTGGTTAATACACACGAGATTATCAGTTCGCTTTTATACTGTGAGCTCACCAACCTTTTCATTGATGTCGGCAGATTGGTAGCAGATTTGTTTGAGAGGATAATGTCTCTGACTTGATACATCGGTAAGCCATTATCAGTTGTGTATAAGCCAGATATGCGTCCAGCCACCTCTAACGATGTCTGAAAAAAACTAAAAGCATAGCGCATCGCTCGGAGAATAATCATCACTACACTCTTCACGTTGTACCTCTGATCTTTCACTGATATATTACAGGTTGGAGTAGGTTTACAGCAATATCATAATAGATTTGCTGGAGTATGACACTCTTTTCTACCTCGAACAAAAAAAATTCTCTTTACTCAGTATCACTCTAGCTCATTATCCTCGGAACTTTTTACGCAAGAAAGATGGTCTCGGCAGTTCTTCACACATCACGCGGTTCTCTAACGATCAGTTGCAAAACAATCTTCCCACAATGTTCACTAAATGTTATTGTGGATATACATGGGCGCCATCATCAATGAATAAGATTTCCAACATTACCACTCCAGTCTCGTAGGATTTCCTTTCATTTGCTCAACGTGACAATCAAGAGAATTTTCATACGAATCAAGTTACTTACACTGATTTGCGAGCGCTAACATGTTCAGAGGAATTAGCCCAAGTCTCATATTTGTGGTGTTATCGGCAAGACCATTAGTGTATCAAAAAAGAAGAATGTCCTCAAACAGTGGGTATAGGGTTTATGCTTTAAGAATCTTTGCTTGTCTTTTTTATAACCAGAGAAGACTATCCAAAATATTATATTGCGGTTATCAAGTTCTTTCACGCACCAAAACCCTATTGAAAATGATTGAATGGACGGTTGAAAACTATAGTGGATAAATTTCGAGTTCACTTTTTTTTTGAACGGATAACCTCAAAGACGTCGTCCCTGGCAATTTACACAACGTGTGCTGAAGACGTCGTTCTGGTGAAACTATTCCTGCCCTTTCGACTGGAGTTGGATTCAAACACACGTAGGGAAACGGAGAAACCCCAATAGGTTTTACCTATTCTTGCCCTTTATCATTGGAAGTCGGTCAGTTGGAATCACGCGCTTGACTGATTTGATGTACTTATGAAGACACCAATCCGGTCTTCATATGAGCAGGTTCCAGCATCTCTTCCATCTGTTTCCTTATTTAGTAGCGCGTATTTGTAGAGGTGATCTGGTTGAAGTGTGAAATTTACTCTGACTGCGATCTGTGGAGTTTTCTCTCTCTCATTGACACCATGGATTGAGTTCATTCACTAGTTTTTTCTTTCGTAAATGAGAGAACGCCGCTCTGGGGAACTTGTTGTGGTAGTCTGGTAGCCTTACTGGTAGTCTTCTATGAATCGGATAAAAGCTTGGCATATTGTCAGTCGGATTATCTTACGAAGAATGGTAACAAATCTTTTGACACCCTTTTGAGACTGAATTAGTAATTTCACGAGCATATAATTATCTACTAGCAACAATCATGAGCTGTTTTCTCGAATTACAGTACCTTTTTCGTCGATAACTCTATATAACCATGAGATCTCGTGGGTTTTGTGTATAAGGATTTAGACCATGTTTGTTTGAGTCCAACGCTGGAAATGGTGAGATAGCATCATGCAGCGAGTCTTTCTAAATCTTCCATTAGTACTCGTGTCATGAAATCATTGCGAAACGGTAGCGAAGACTTTGTCTTCTATGTTTCTCGTTATAACATTTCTTATGTGTCGCACTACGATGAGAGGGCACCATCTGCATCATTTCTTCATAAGATATCGCAGGACTCATACCTACTTCAACTCGACTAAGTGTTATTGAAAGATATTAAGGGAGAAGTTTTATACTTTAAAGGATAAAAAGGATAAAGCTCTCGGCGTTGATCAACCCCTGAGGGATGCGCCATGCATTCGACTTCAATTTATAATTTCGTTTGAGGTGATTGAATGCACATTTACAATGACTCGCGGTGGCCTCCCGCTGAACCGAGTCAGTGCTGCTTATCTTCCCAGGCTAGTCTGAGTCCTGTCTGGTACCGATTCACCGACCCCGGAGGGATGGATGGTTTGGTGAGCCATGAGCGCGAGATCGGACCAGTGACCTCGTGTGCGACGCAGGGCACCTCTAACCACTGCGCCACATGCGCTCTGTTTTATACTTATCAAGCGATAAATGCATGCCACATCAATTGTTATTTTCACTTGACATAAAGTGATACATCTCCGGCGCCTCTACCTTTAGTTGTGGTGGTGAAGGCGAAAGGCCTGTGGTGCTGGTAAGACGTGTGAAAATACGCCGATGCTTGCGTATACCACTATAAATGCCTTTACTAAACCTCTGAATGGCTTAGAATATTTTGTCAGATCGTACTGAATCTTCAAACGAAGTCCCAACAAAGTCGATTGAAAGGTGTAATTCAGTGTAGCGTCGATTCGCGGATATTGTATATCTCTATATTCTACTCGAAATTACTGGTATTTTCACTGCATTTTTCGCGGTGTTATGATGTTTCGTGTATACTTAAGAGAGCTGAGTGGTGAGCAAAAACACGGCCTTAAGCGGGAATTGTACCCGAGTTTATCCATAACGGGAACACGTGTTCCACCGCTACACCACCGAGGCACATTAGCACCACCACTCATTCTTCAACATCTCTATGTTAGCTATTAGCCACCAACCTTTAACAGGCTTGCTCGAGATGCGATTTTGCTCCAGCTCCATAAACCCAGTTGAGCTGACAGCCATTGCACTAACTAATACTCGAGATTTCCAGTATTTTAACTGCATTTCTTACAGTGTTATGTTGTTTCGTTTATACCTAAAAGAACTGAGTGGTGAGCAAAGTATTACGTCACGGTGGTTAGTGGGTAGAGCACGCGTCCCTGGTATGGGTGAAAACGCGGGTTCAAATCCCGCCTGAGGCCATGTTTTTGCTCACCACTCAGTTTTCTTAGGTATACATTCCACATTTGATTATATTCTTAATTGATCTCAAATCGAAAAATGATAATTTACACCACTCTAGGAGTTCATTCACAAGTCATACAGATTGATTTCATGATGAATTGTGTTTGTTTTGATTCTGTGGACGGGGGAGTGGCTATACGCCTTCAGGGATTAATGCTTCTTTATTTTGGAATTTCGGTCTTCTGAGTAAAATATCGTTACTACGAAGACCATTAACGGCAGTAACATAGAAATGGACGCTTGGCTGGGGATGGCGCCACTTTCTCGTCAGCTGTGAGATCCGTGGTTGGTGGTGGTTGGTCTTTGAGTGTGCAACCACCCACTACTGTCCTCGCTTCACCCTTGATCATGGCGCAGTTTGGGTGTATTCAGAGGCAGCTGTTCACGTAGCGATCGACGTGTGCTTTTGTGAATCGCAATACTTGAACGACGGAGTTAAGACGACGATACTGATTGACAACTAGATACCGCGGAACAACTGGTAGTCCAAGACGACCGGCGGCGGATCCGTCACGTACGTCCGACGTCGGGTAGGTTGCGGAACGGGAGAGAGACTGGGCAAATCGACAGGAATTCTTTCTCCCAACGCTATCTCAGCAGTTGTATGATTGAATGTCTAGCAGGAGTTGAACTCGCGATTAGCCCTTCATGGGGCCGCGTATTAACCAATACACTGCCGGAGCTTCTGTTCTCCCATCATTGTGTTTGTAATACAAGGTATCGGTTCTGTCAGCAACTAGCCAGCCCTCAACGGTTTGACCTGGTAAACACATGTCGGGATGGAACACAATTTCCAATCGCAGAAAGAGTGATAAGAGAACATTATCTCCGGTTATGCAGTGGTTAGTACGCAACTGCGCATAAGGTGAGACGCGGGTTCGGCCTCCAGCGAAGATCCATTCTTCTCACATCGGTCAATGTCATTGGATTCATAACAAGACTGTTTTATTGCCGTGAGCAAAACACACTTTCTGATTGATATATATATTCTTTCTCTGTGTATATTCTAACAATCCTAAACTATCCAGAATTTCTTACATTTTTACTGTTTTTTTGTAGTGTTATGATGTTTCAAACAGACTTAAGAGAATTGATTGGTCAGCAAAAATTCGACCTCACCTCAGAATTGAACCCGCGTCTCACCCATATCGGGGTGTGCTACTGCGACACCACCGAGGCACCACCTGGCTACCACTCAGTCTTCACCTGTTATAGGTTAGTGGCCAATAGCTAATGAGTGGTAGCGAAGTGGGGTGCCTTGGTGGTGCAGTGATAGCACTCCCCACCCCGGAAAGGGTAAAACGCGGGTTCAACTCCCGCTTAGGACGAATTTTTGTTTATCACTGAATGTCTTGAACGGATTATTCATCGTCATACCATCGTTAGAAGGCTGTCAAATTGAAGAACCATAAGTAATGGCTTATCAGGAACATTTCCTTTATATAACAGAATGAGCATCTTTATCTGGTCAGAGAATTTAAAATTTCGATGTCTCTCTTATCACGTTTGCAGTGTTTGCCCTTTGATGAGGTCGCAGAACTATTAGTTTGTAACAACACGTGACTGAACTTTCATCATGTCCCTCTCATCACGAGCAGGGTACTCCGGTTCTCTGGTTGTCTCTCTAGAAATCGTTGCACTGGTTGCCCCTCTTTCCGTTGCCGCATTTTTACTATAGCTGTTTAATTTATGTTCTTTATTAATCAGGTCAGTAGCGCGAGGCTGATAAGAATGGGATTTATTCTGCTGAAAATAGTTAAACAACGATTCCTCGATTACTTTATCCATTAACTCTCGGGTCTTAACTGGATTCAATGTCTATGTGCTTACCAGGTCAAACCGTTGACGACTGATTATTGACAGATCGAGATATCTTGTATCGAAGAAAGAGTGATTGCACAACAGGAGCCCTGGTAGTGCAGCTGTTGGCACACGTCCCCGTAAGGGTGGGAATGAGTTCAGCTCTCGCTCGAAGTTTTGAAATTCTGCATATCGCTTAAGCCTTTCGAGACCATTGACTCACCGCCTCTACGCCTCTGATCCCCCAGCGTATTGCGTCTTACAATAGCGTCTAAACCCTAGCGTGCCATTGTTAGTCGCAGCACGCTGGAGGTTAGAGACGGAGAGCGTTGGGTCCATGGTCTAGAAAGGGTTAAAATTATTAGATATTATACTAGCGTTTCGGTGTCTTCTTTCCCCTCAGAACCGATTATTGGAGTTTATTCTCCCCACATGCGAGTCAACATACCGCAGCCGAGGAACAACGAACGTGGGGACAATCGACTCGCATCATCGGCTCTAGGAAGTAGACGAAGGCGTCGAACGTTTAACCGAATAAGTTTGTTTCTGTCAACCTCGTGCTAATTTCTTAATCAACAGGTAATATATGTCCTATCGGTATTGTCGAAGTTTGAGAGGAATTGATTTTGAAGTTATTATAGCTTCTTTTCTCTTTTGTTTATTTTGCTCACTCATGAGATACATTCGCGTTGAAAGAAGTGTTTCTGATGTTCAAAAAACCTTGACTTTTATTTGAATTACTTTTTCCTTTTTCAGCAATGTTGGCCAATACGAGGCTGGTCGGTTACCGAACACTGTGTTTGTCCGCTTCACTATGTAATAAGGTGTGTCTAAAAGCTTATATTTGATTGCATTTTTCAGTCTTACATCGATATTTATTCTCAGTCTCCAGCTCCGAACACCTTGATAAAGTTGGATTTTACTCGAACGACTTTGCCTTTGTGTATAATTACTTTGAATTCCTTGTAACGAGAGCGTGTGGTGCACTACTAGAGGTGTTCTGCGACGCACACGTCGGCGGTGCATTCCCGCGGCTAGAGTTCCTCAACACTTTCGGGACCGTGGACTCACAGTCTGTGCATCTCTAACTGCCAACTCTGGACGGTCTGCTCCAAGTCCTCTGCACCTCTAACTCCCACTGTGCTGCGTCTAACAATGGGTGAGAGATGCGTAGGTCGTGCGTCCATAGTCCCGAAAGGCCTCAGTTAACTACCGGCATCAGTAAATTGGTACTACATATTTATGGGAGGATAGCAGCAGTGACCTGATACAACGGTAGGCCACCGCAAGTCATCGTGTAGGCCAGATACGCATCCAATCACCCTAGCAAGGCTTGGCGGAGCACATCGTTTAGCGACTGGCTAACTCCCGTTTCACCAAGCTCCAAATAGGCTGGAAATATCCTATCACAATCTATCCTTGTTCCTATCAGTTCTTGTGACATATCTTTGTATTTGTTTTCTACTGATTGTTTTTATTTATCTATGATATTCGCACTGCTCCAGGAAGTTTACATTGTCGGATCAGCACGGACACCTATCGGATCATTCCGATCGCAGTTAGCGTCTGTACCTGCTCCACAATTAGGAAGTGTGGCTATAAAGGCAGCTGTGGAAAGAAGCGGTTTGAAGCCAGAGAACGTGGAAGAGGTATCAGATACTACTTGTATTGGTATTGAGCTGCTTGGATTGAAAATTTCTCACCACAGGTGTTTATGGGCCAAGTATGTCAAGCAAATGTCGGGCAGGCTCCTGCGAGACAAGCAGCACTTGGTGCAGGTCTTCTGATTACATTTCTTCGGAAGCTGGTATATGACATGGACTTATAGATCCATTTTTAGGTCTGAAAGTCTCAACGATTGTTACTACTGTGAATAAAGTTTGTGCGTCAGGCTTAAAATCCATTATGCTTGGTGCGCAACAAATCCTAACTGGTCAACAAAACGTGAGTTTTCAGGTTCTTCTCCCTTTAACAGATTAAGAAGCGATCCCTTTCGCTGGACAACAAGTTTCGTAGGAGTGTTAGAAATCATTTGAAAGCTTAAATCTCTAGCTACTTCCCTACATGAACACTTTTGTAAAGACTTTTGTAACACCGCGAAACACGAAATTATGTATCTGCATCGGCCGCGCAATCCTACTATCACTTCGCTGAAGCGCGAGAAACATATAAACGTGTAGAGAAAATCTTGTAGTATCAGGGTCATACGTTTTGTGTGAAGTGATTTTTGAAGCGGACGAAACATTTCTAATTGAATGACAAAGATCGCATCTCACATGTGTAACGCACCAGCGCCATCGATCGATCCTCGTGTTGAAATCGTGGGCAGCCCTTCTACCCGCCCCGCCACCCCCAGCCCGTAAAGTAGCCAGGAACACGTGCCCGTTTATATGAACCAATCTTGTTTGATACACTGCAGACAAACGGTCTTTCCTTAATATAAGCACAGCTTGGAATCGTCAAATCTTACGCTATCGAGTGAGTACTAGTAGTCTAAATGAGGCACTGTCCTGTGAGAAATATGCGTGTGTGAAATACAAATGTTTCCCTTTCGCTGGTGCGTTAGAAAGAGACTTTTTCAAGAAACGGCCACGTAGCGCAGTAGCCAGAGATTCAAGCTTTTGAGTGAGCACTAATACTCTCATGAAAAGTTCTCGTCCAGAGAAATGGGTTGTTTCTTCATTCCCTCCTACCAAACGGAAAAGTGCCAGTTTTATTGACAGTGTCAAATACAACTATGTAATCGTCGCGAATTCTCATTCAACAGCTTTTTTTTAGCAGTGGTATGATGTTGTAGATGTATATCCAGTAATTTTGAATGATAAGCAACACTTTAAACCTCGGGCGAAAAATGAACCTGCGTTTCTCCTTCTCCGAGGACGGGTGCTAACCACTGTACTACCGCGGCTCCTATTCTGTTATGACTCCTGGGCTCCTGAAAAGGTGAATCAGGGGTTAAACTCCTGCTCGAGGTTCAATGTTCTACAGAACACTTAGGATTATCGCCTACATTGCGTTACCCTTCACAATTACATCTTTGTTTTGTTTTTATGATAAGCGAATGCGCTGTTATAGTTCTGAAAAATTTGGACAAGTGACATTTCGGCGGGGTTCGCCTTCTTGTCAGCCTGGAAAGGTCAGGTTGTTTTAGGCTGATTGAGTTGTGAACCATCTTCTTTAGATCTAGAGAAGACGATGCGCCAAAATTTTAGCTGTGCAGATAAATTTTTTTATGAAGACAACGTTGTGGCTTAGTTTATTGAAAAAGCCTGTGAACTGTTGAACAGTGCCGAGTCCATTTATGCTCGGTCTTGGGAACGCTTTTTTTTGCAACTCCCGAGTTATCTCCTGATCTCTGTATTGTAGAGAAATTCTCGTCTTTCATTACTTTTTCTTTTCAGCCCGACTTCAGTAAGCTTTTACATGGTTTTTTGCAGATCGTCATTGGTGGTGGTATGGAGAGTATGTCCCAGGTTCCATTCTACTTGAATCGAGGTGATACCACGTATGGTGGTATGAAACTTTTCGTAAGTAAAGTTTTGTTTTTCCTTGGAGGTTTTTAACAGTCCGGAATTTTCACTGGCACTTAGGACGGAATTGTGAAGGATGGCTTAACAGACGCCTATGATCATTGTCATATGGGTAATTGTGGAGAGAAAAACTGCTAAGGATTTGTCGATTACAAGAGAAGAACAGGATGCTTATGCTATTGGAAGTTATACGAAATCCGCTTCTGCTTGGAAGGTCAGCTCACTTGTCTGCTTTCGCTATCTAGCTATATCTATTTTTGTTTAATAGCCATTAAATTGTGCGGCTCATTCGAAATTATACTCTTATAGAGTGGAATAATGGCATCTGAGATTGTACCCGTTACTGTAAAAACTCGAAAAGGTGAAAACTGTTATTGATACAGATGAAGAGTTCAAGAATTTCGATCCAGAAAAGCTAAAGAAATTGAGGACTGCATTTCAAAAAGGTAAGTTTGACGCAGCTGACTTTTTGTAATTGGCAGGAAATCTTTACTCAGTGGCATTTTTAGCAGTGGCAAGATGTTGTAACTATAGACCCACCCCATAACGTTGAGTGATGTGTAAAACTTGAATGGCAAACAGAACTTGAAATTGCGTCTCATTTTTTCCGAGAGCCCGTACTAATCACCGCTCTATCAAGTTCTTGTTCTACTATCACTCTCTCTGTTCTCAGCGTAACTGGGTTTAATGTTGAGATGTGTTTGCTAGACCAAGCCCGTTGACAGTTGGTTGCTGATCTCTTCGATTCCTTGTTTCGCAGTAAGAGTGATAGCAAAACAGTAGCGCCGGTAAAGCAGTGGTTAGGACGAAGCACCCCCGAAAAGTGTGAGACGTGGGGCAAATTCCGTCCGCGGTTCAAACTTTCGCATATCACGAGTTTTTTGGTTGATTTGCCGGATTTTTGGGCTCAATGTGGATTTGACTTCTCAATATAAATTTCTAACGTGGATGTATTACAGATGGTGGAACTATAACTGCTGGCAATGCATCGACCTTGA